CTCCACATTGCCGAAAGTGTTGGTAGAAATTAACCGGCTTCGCAAACTTCCATTAGTCTTTAGTACAATTTTCTCCATCAATTCTCTAGTTAAGTGTCAATTTAAAACTGCCTATCTTCTTCCTCTTCTTTTTTTTTACTTCTAAGTTAAAAAAATTTCAGTTTTTCTAGTTAATTTTTAGAGCGATCTCTATACATTTTCATGCGAATTTGATTGTTTCTTTTCCCGTATTTAGAAATAAACTTGAAATTTTAACATTTACTATCGTACTTCGTGCACAAAAGAAATCGGCAAGAAGCATTATCAAAATAGAATTTTTTACTGTTTAAATCATTCTTGAGCCCTTCAACAAGTATCTTTTTTACGTTCAATAAATTTCGAGTCGTGGCTATCAACGACTTCTAAAGGTATCCATCTTGTATAACTATTTACCAAAAAGAAATAACAGTGTTGAAGTTTATATATATTCACCTTAGACAGACAAGCGTTTAATGTCTATCAACAACGACACCCGTTTCTAATCAAGTAGCACACATAAAGAGATCTTTATGGACGACTGAATGTTCTCGACCAACATTCTTAGCTGACAAATACCTTACGTTTTACCATCTTTATAAGCAGAACATAGAAAGACATAAAGAGGCTCCCTGCAGTTTCTACACTTTGATTACATCGCGCGCCTTTCCTAAACTTCTTTTTCATTTTCATCCAGATCGGCGAAAATTGTTTTAATTAACGGCTATAGCCGCCATTATCTATATCTAGATTTTCGATTTAATGAAACAACGTAAATAAAACGAAGGCAGTCGAATTTCTCGACTAGATACTAGAAATGAAGATCAGAGTAACCGCAGCGCATCTCTTGATGGATTACAAAGTTAATTCTGATGTCCCAAAGTAGGTTTAAGAAGAGAACGATAAGAATTTTAAATTTGAGAATTAAAAAGAAAAGACTGAAGTGTTAGGTTTTTATGGTGCAAGTCACGATGCCAAACTTAAGGTTTTTTTTCGTTTTTTTATTTTTGTTAAGAGAAGACACGTTTGTTTCTTAATGCATAAAGAATTTATCCATCTAGATTATTATCGATAGACTCTTAGTTCAAAAATTTATCACTGGTTTTGCTTTATATACCTCTTTCCAAACTTTGAGGAATTGATCCAGAATTTTTCTTCTTCGCTTCAAGAAAGAAAGGCGTAATTAATTTAATGTATTGGTAGATATAAATAATGCATTATCAAAGAATGCAAGCCTGAAAAATTTAATCATAGTCACGAAAAAAGTATATAAAGGAAGACATACATTTTTCAACTACTTGTTCTATAATTATCTAACTAAGGTTTATTCTTAATATCACTTTTTTAAGCTTTCATTATATAAAGTCATATCTTAGGCGTATTTTTTAAATAATTTTTTTTATTAAACCTCAGCAATATATCTCACAGAATTTGCAAAAATAATAATAAAAAACTATTATTTTTTATCTGGGATATAAAAAAAGTTAATTCATTACTTTTGAAATTGGATTCCTTTTTTTTCGCATCATGCATGTTTCACGAATCTTCTTCTACCTATAATTGAAAGGATTTTTTTTAAAAGTTCAATAAATCCCCAAGTCAGATTTAAAATGACTCTGCGTATATTTTTGTAAAAAATAAAACCTTAAAAATTTAACATTAATTGAATTTTTATACCGAATAAGTTTCTGTTTACGTAATCTTTTCCTCTTGATTGTTTCGCCGTCTATACATATTGCATGAGTTTAATGAACTACAAAACCGAAAATTCTGTAAAATTTTAAGCTCGTATCCTATAAAAATGGACGAAAGGAATCGGTTATTAGTTTTTTAAAAGAGGAAAGAAAGCAATGTTTTTAAAACTAATGGAGCGTGGATGGCCAGCTTGAAGTATCATTAAATCGTCCGAAACGAGGATGCTTACAATTATCTAGATTTGATTGGTTTACACTCCAAAACAACGTCATTTCGGCAATAAATGACAAATCTATGCACGCTTAATCGCTTAACATTATTGCTACTGTAGTAGTTAGGCAGATATATGTCTATAGTCGGTTCATTATAAACGGTTTCGGGCATTCCTCCATTTTCTCTCGTTTGCTTAACGGTAATTCAATTTATTTTCCAGCTGCGGATACTTTTGCTATATAAATTAGATCCGTTGACAAGTTTTCTCATCATCGGGCTAAAGGTCGCCTTCGGTTGTATCTAGTCTCCATTTTGCCTGCCTGTCATAGAACCTGGGGCTAATATCCTGTCAAAGTACAACGATCTTCTGTGACCTCCTTTCTCCCAACCCCATACTCTGTTGGATATAGTTCTAATGATGATCTTATTATATTTGCTTTTATTCGCTCCAGGCAATAAATTATTCGCCAGAATGGTTTTAATCAATTTGTTTTGAAAGTTCGTTTCGTTTTCTACATTTAACCCGATTCTTTTCTTTTTTCTCTATTATTTTTCCCCTTCATGTCTCGATGTTATTTTTGTTTGTTATTATTGTAATTAATTATTAAGTTCATGATAGATGCAAACAGATTAATACATTAATCAAAAATATCCGAATGTAATTGCATTTTTCTGCAAATGTCAAAATAAATTAACAGATATTTTTTTCTTCAACTTTCTTCCCAAAAGAGAATTTTTGTTTAATTGGTAACTTGCTTTCTCTTGGTCTGTTGACGTTACGATAGAGAAATTTAGACCGAAAATTGGTTTTTAGAAATTGTTTTGTTGGATTTTCCTTCAGGGAATATTACTCATTTTATATATGCATTTGACGTTTGGAATCTTCTAAAAACTTAAAGCGAATCATTTAATTATGTGATAAGTTTTTTACATGAAGTGAATGTTGTGATAATTTACCATATTCACTAATATCTTTACTGTCTGACAAGAAGGTCGTTATCAAGATAACATGAATGCAAAACTTCTCTATATTCAAATTTTTATATTATATATTCAACCATTTTATAAAATTAAAAGATGATAAAAAGAATTCGTAAATAATCCATAGACTTTAAGACACGAGTTGCTTTTTTCCCCTCTCTCTCTTAATCAATCTTGGATTACTGTCTGCTCTCTTTTCCGATTAATATTAATATAAGAGGCATTTGCACAATTTTCTAGTACGAAATCAAATTAACAGACGATCTGATCGATATTAATGCTTTAGCTTAATCTCTATAAGTTGAGCTTCGAATTTTACGATCGGGATTATGTCGACTAGAATATCATTCAAACTTTATGGATTAAAATAAAAATCGATAGTTTTGTTTATGCAAAATTTTCTACGCAAAATTTTTTTTATAAGATGAGCATTAATAGATGATTCATAATTGAGTTTTGAAGTAAGATAAATAAAGGAAATAGCAGTAAATGTTATTTAAGGGTGTAGAAGTTCTTTTCAGATGAAGTTGAAGAATTGATTTCCTATTTAAGCAGCTATTTCTGGATTTTGTGAATATAATTCAATTTTACTTTGATTGATTCGTTAGAAAACATTTTAAAAATCTTAAAAAAAATTAGAATTTATACTAACAAAAATGAAAACATTACCTGGATTGGCGATGGTTAGCTTTTAGTGGAAGTGTACAGAAATTTTTAATGTTTGATATTGATTTTTAATGTTTTTTATTTTGTTTCGAATAGCATTAATTAAGATGAGTATATTTTTTTTAATAAATTAAAACACAGTATTAAAATATTTATAAATCTTGTTTCAAGTAAAAAATAAACGAAATCTATATTATGTAGTATAATCTTTAAACTTCGTTTGATTATAATGTAAAGATATGTTTACTCGATAGAAACTCGATATCTCTCGGCTAAATTGGAAAAGTGTGACACTATCTTAGAAGGAAAAAAATCTGCGCTTATGTTTTTAGATATTTCAAAAGTTTGCTTCAGAACTTTCGATCGTCACTAAACATCCTCAGGTTCTGTCATCCTTATACATCCGTCTAAGTAATAAGCCATCCGTTCTTAAATATTCCGTTTATGGCTTCTGGGCTCTCCTCACTATTCTTTACTAGGACTTGTGTTTTTAGTGCTTCTCGCCCGATCGACCGTGCTAACTCTACGTCCTTATCTCCTGCATAGTTTGTGAACTTTATCCTTTTCACGTTTAACAGATGGCCTGATATCTTCCATCGATTGCACGCAGCTGGAAAAATACGCCATCCTACCTCTTCGCAAAACAGCCCGGGCATTGTTCGACGTCCAAAACCCGTTTTTAAACCCGTCCAGTATCAACAAACCGCCTAAATAGATTTATCCGAACAAAATAACGTCCGTCCAAAATACCTACTATAATGACAATGTTGCAGAAAATATAGGCTCCGGCTAAGAACGAGACGGTGCTCCTGTATACAATAAAGAAAACTTGTCATGAGCTGTCGCCTTTCGTGACAATAGCTTATGCTTCGTAACGTGTTAAATATTAGTGGAATCACTAGATCGTATTAGAGAACTGTAAACAACAAGATTCTAAATTTGCCTCGGGACTTTTAAATTTCGATGTTAACTGTTATAGGACGGTCGTCAATTATGTAACGAGACACAACTTACTACAATCCCATAACAGTTGTGTTTCACTTGACCGAATTCTATTTGCGAAGCGTGAACGAATTCCAAGCACGTCTTTCGATGTCTTGTGGTAACAGCCACCGACTTCGGAATGCAAAAACAGTCTTCTGTCTCTTTTTTCCTTTCTTTTAACTTCAAATTCTTTCTTTCGGTTCGAATCATGCTTTTTTTTACGTTTCTGAAGTGCAAAAGTTTTGTACCGTACCTTTACCAAATAAAAAACAAGAAGCTTTTGTTCCATAAAAAATTACATTTTTGCCACCGACATTCAAATGCTCTTTGCGTTTTTTATTTTGTGATGGATGAATTTTAAAACGTTATGTAAGGTCTATAAACGCGCCAAGAATTTTAAAACCATAATAATATATTAAAAATTATTTATTTATTTACTCTTTCAGTGACAAAATACATCCGGATAGGTATCGGAGACAAGAACGACAACCCTCCTTACTTTGATCAAACGAGATACGAAGCCGAAGTTAATGAAGATGAAGATATTCAACATACTGTTATTACAGTAACGGCGAAGGACAAAGACGAATGTGAGTTAAAACAAAAAAGTTATTCTTTTAAGTCGAAGTAAACCTAGGATCAACCGTTGATTGAATTTGTAATTACAGTTTAATTTGTCGAGTGAGAGATTTATGACATTTCTAATGTCGTTCTACTATCGAAAAAAACCTATGTTTATTCTAGACGATTTGCATAGTATTTATATCTAGGGAAAAAGTTGAGAGACAAGAACAGAAAATGCACACAGCCATCCCAGTCGACACATTTGATACAGCTGTCAAAGTGTAATCACGCTTGAAAGATGGCGGTTTTTTCGAGGTTGAAGTGATAAGATAGTCCCATATCGGCATTCATAAAGGTTAGATCTGCGAGAAATCCCTAATGGTTCACTATGGGAGGAACTACATTCCTTAACATTTTTGCGGACTCTTTTTTTTTAATTCTAAATTTGTTCTCGTAAAGCATTTCCTCTGCCAGTTTTACTTAGCCTCTCTTACGAGGAATACTCCTAGTCTTTTCGTAGGTTTGGGAATGGATGTAAAAAGTAATAAACGTATCCCTATGTGGAATTTAAAGTCCTGGAAAGATAAGGTCTACTAGACATCTCCCCCTCTTTTAACTTTTATCTATCTAACCTCCATTGTGATGATCAATAAGAGGACCAGCCAGTAAGTGATTTCTCCAGTGGTGTATCCCCCTGCTGTTTTTAGGAGACTGGAAGATGTTATCTTTTATAGCTCTTTGGATCATGATTTGTATTGGTGTTTGTTATTGTATCATTTCTTCCCTCTTTCTTTTCTTCTTTTTTTCTAAATAGATAACTATAAATTATCTTGCCTCTTCCGTTCTTCTTGGGACTTAGATATCCTCTTGTTACTTTTATTATATCCATCTGGAATAGAAATGAGTGTAGTAGAAAGTGTAAAATCTAGTATACATATTATAGGTTGATGTTTACGACAACATTGATGTTCAGAATAAAAATTTTACACAGGTGTATATGCAAAAAGAGAAAATAGTTTAAAGTGTTGAATCAGTGACAAAATGTTAAAGGAAATACTGTTTATGTAATTGTTAGTTTTATGTGTTCGAAGACATTTCTACTGAAGAATTTTTTTTCTTGTTACAACTTTAAATATGCAGAAAATGAATTGGAGAATTGCCAACATTTCCTTTACTGATTTTAGATAAACGTTTTATTGTTATGAAGAAATTCCGGTGACAGAAATATTGAGCAAATTTATGATTTTTTATTTTTATTATTTTTTTGTCTAGATGATAGATTATATTTCAAAATAGATTGACAGGGAATATAAAACTATACATAATAATTTTTAAGTAGGGCCTAATAATATCAAAACATTATATACTTATATTGTATTGGATTTTAAGAATTCGATTAAACACTTGATTTATCATTACCTTTAACTTTCATCTATTATTGAAAAAAAATTTCCTCAAAAAAAATGTTTTTGAGGAAATTATAATAACTTATGTTATTAAATAGCTTATTAATTAAAAATTTTATAAGGACGACAAAAATTTTGATTTAAAAAATTTTAAATTATATTTTTTGAAACTAATTATAAATACTCACTTCTCGTAAGTTTTGACGCTCGAGGCGTTTAATTTATCAAAAATTTAACAAAAAAGTATTCAATATACATATATTTTGCAAAAAGTTGCTTATTTTTTTAATAAAAATTGAACAAAAAAACTTCGCGTTGGTACCATATTTTACACGTTTGACCTTTTTTACACAAAAAAAAAAAAAAAAAAAGAAAAGGAAGAAAAAGCAAAAGAAAAATAATTCGGAGAAGAGGTTTCGCATATATATTTTAATTAAAAGAAGGTCTAAGTTTTAAATTATGAATTTTTATTGTTTAGAAAAATTGAGACAATTTAATGCTTTTAAAATGTCAAAATTATCTAACAGAGTCATTAATCTTAAGAGCAAAGAGTAAATTATTGCAAATATAATAATTTGTATAATTGTTTTTTTGTTTTTTTTTTAAATAACATTTGAAATTAGAAACTTAATTCTTTTGAAATGAAACCAGAATGATGAATTTAGTTCGATAAGTTTAACGTAAAATATTTTCAGAAAATGCTCGAAACCATATTTATTGTATTGAATAAATTTTATAATATATTAGAATAATAATCCCTTTTTGTTATCACTAGGGAATCTATCATCGAAGCGATTCTATATAAAATTTATTGTTATAAAGTAACTATTATTATTCGTATTCATTCAAAATGGAGATTTTTATTGAACAAACTTCAACACGAAATTAGATCATTGTTGACGAATGCTCAACAATTTTCTGTTTTGTGTAAACTTCAAATGTTTTTGTGATGTGTTTGCCCCAAAAATGTAAAGAATTCACAAACTACTTTGTATATAAGATGTTATCAGAATAGAATTCAATACGCTTATTTATATGAAAATTTTATCCCTCGGAAAAAGTAGAGAATGTAAGGAATTTACCTTGAGTTTAATGCTTCCATCAAATATTTCATTACAAAGAATAAATTTTTATCTTTATTTATGACCAAATATAAACTAAAATTTTTATTAAAAATGAAAAATTTGTGATCATATTAAAGTGATTATAAAATTTTTAATGTTTAATAATACATATTGCTACATTAAATTGATAAATTGTCTTGTAAATTTTAAATGTTTAAAATATAATTGAAATCTATAAAATAATTAATGAATATGATTACCAGAAACCATAAAGTTTAGAATATTAAGATTTCATCAAAATTAATATGAAATCATTGTATATTTATTACTTACTAGTAATATTTCGTGTATTTATTATGTAAGTTTAAAATGCTTACTATGAGAAAAAGTTGGAATTATACTCATTTTTTACATCATCTGCTGTGATTTAGAAAGTCCTTTAATCTTGGGCAAACTTCATACAAAGGACAGATAAGGTACGTGAGGATAAATGAGACTGGGAAGGAGATGAAGATAGATGAGAGTGGCACCCTTCGCAAAACTTCTCATAAACATATATGTGCCTCTCAGCAAATCATTTAAAAACAGAGAGGAATAGAAAACTTTCAAAGAACGAAGAAATGTTGTGGTCCATATAGAAACTCATAAACTCTAACTTCTGATTCATCACCTTTTTAAAGGGGGAAATTGGATGAACCAAGCATTGGAAGTCGAGTAATAAATCATCATTATTTTTGTTGTTATTGCAAAGAAAAAGGATGTCCAGCTGCCATAATTTGTTTTCTGTCATCCGAAAGAAATACAAGGTGTCTGCTCCAGTAATTATTATTAGTAGCCAATTATCTTATATTAATTAAAACAGTACTTTTCATTATTCATAGATTGTTCTTGCATGTTAAAATTCTCAAGTTGACCCAACTTAAAAATTTATGTTTATCATTGTAATAAACATAGAACTTGATTTACTATGCTGAGAAAACTTGCATATTTACATTCGCGTTTTAATGTTGTTTATCCAGTGATTATACACCTTTATTAAAATATAAACTTTGATGTAAATTTTTAAAAATAGGTAATTTAAAATATGCCAGTTTAAGTAATAAAGAGAAGAAAAATTATAATTCATCAAAATGAAGTATTCAAGTTTAAGAATTGATATTGAAATACTACAGATAGATATTTGTTAAAGATATGTTGAAGACTGAATGTTATTGGAAATATCAAATACAGGACAATCAATGGGAACAAGTTGTTTTCAGTGACGCAAAGAGGTTTAACTTAATAAATGGCCCCAGAGGTAAAGCATATTACTGGCACTGTTTGAAATAAAAAGAAAAGTGCTTCCGAAAAGAAAGCAAGAAAGAAATTCCGTTATATTCGGGCATCATTTGGATTTAATGGAAAAACAGAAGTTTATCTGTGGATCATCATTTATCTTCAAAATATATGAAGATATTAAATCGATAGCCCACTCATTGACATTTGTTTACGCAATTAGTATTATTTTCTAGATTTTAACTACATCTATCTCAGATTGCCAATATATATATAAGTTTTACGTGACTTAGAAAAGCTTCATCAAGGAAAAGAGATGATTGTTTTTAATGTCAACTAATTTACAGTTTATGAGAATAATTAGACCTCATGCGGGAAAATGCTGTGGTAAGTCAAAATAGTATGAAGAAATATCAATTTCAATTTAGTGAAATAACTAAACGCTGGAAGCAAAGAAAGTAGATAAGAAGGGTTTTTTTAAAAAAAAAAAAGAAAAAAGAAACTCTAAGAATAATATTATTTTTTAACTTGTTTTCCAATTGGCTGTTCCTAACAAAATTTTATACGTAGTGTGTTGTCACAAAATTCTTTTTTAGTGTATTCTATCACATTTACAGTTAATTATACATTGCTTTATGTTTTTATAAAAAGATAGCGTGTATATTATTACAGCAATATTAATTTAATATCTAATTTATAATGAAGTATTTTATTATAATATATGATTGTGTAATTAAAAGAAACATTTGTATTTAGATTATTCATTTCGTGAGAATTTAATCACACTATGCTATATAGTATGGGAAGGTATATTTTAAATCATGTAAGTTAAAATTTGCGAACACTTAGTTTAATACGGCCTACCGGATTAGCTAATGAAGTCCGGATCGTGCGTAAGGTATAATAAATATTTTCAGCAGTTTAACCAAGCACTCTACCGGGAAGTAAACAATTGAATCCTATAAATCATCTCGATCATGCTATTATGGAAATTAAGCAAACTGTATCATACAAATACTTAAAATTGATACCCTTNTACCGGGAAGTAAACAATTGAATCCTATAAATCATCTCGATCATGCTATTATGGAAATTAAGCAAAATGTATCATACAAATACTTAAAATTGATACCCTTTTAAACAGAAAACGGCCCTGTTAGTAGACTTAAATACTATTAAAGTTTTAATGTTGTTTAATAATCATCACTATTAATGAATCAATTCAATTTCATTATAATTACAATATAATCATTGTTAGTTATTGATTTACGTATTTACAAAGAATTAAATATTTTACGAAAACTTTCGTTAGAAAATGAATTGATGAAATTTAAGATAAAAGAAATTCAAAAAGAATTTTCGAAAATCGTTTAAAAATAAGTTCTATTTTAACATATGTTAAATAATTTATTTATCGTGTTGTATGTGTAGAATTTTTGTCGTGTACATGACGAAAATTCTAAAAGTTTGAAATTCTGAAAGTTTTCTTATTTAATTGTTAAAATTAGGCAATGGACGTTTATTCATTTTTTTTTTGGTGAAATATGAATTTATAACAAGTTCCATATTTTATGAAGTAACCGTCTTTCTTTCCTTAGGCATTAATAACTTTCATATTTACGTTTCTCCGTACGTATTGATTGCCTAAGGTGTATCCCAATTGGTTTTATCTTTCTTTCCTATAAATGCACTTACTAAATATTATAATACAAATATAACATATATATATATGTAATTATTTCCTGTAAGACAGGATATTTGAAAAAATTAATTATCTTTTCATGTTTCACAGCTTCTTAACAGAAAAATAAATAAAAATAAGAAAACCAAAATTTTTTTTTCTTATTTGAAAATCTTACTTATACTGTAGTTCAAAGAAATTATGATATAAAATTATATCAATTTATCTATAGCATAGTATTAATTTTTTATAAAGAATACTTAAGTTATTAATTAAAAGATTTTAACATAAAATTATATTTAATTAAATCGTAAAAAGTTTATATATAGTATATTACAATTATTTTTATAAGTTTATAAATTTGGATTTTTCTAGGTAATGCATTCTGTTTTTTAAAGTAAAGCATTAACTGTTTTATTCAAAAACTGTAACACAAATAAAAATTTACTATAAAACAAAAGGCAAAGATATAAATCTTTCCAAACTTTAATTTTTTATGTTTTTAGTAATATTTTTTATAATAAAAATTGTTTTTAGATTTTAGGGATATTTTTAAAGACAAATTCGAAATTTATTTGACATATTCAATTATTTCAATTTTTGTAAATTTAGTTATGGAATATAAAAGTTCTTTCACATTTAAATAAACTATAAACAAAGTACAATATTGCTCTTAACTTTGATTTTGTTTTTATTGATTCATTCTTTGGATTTAATTTTATCATTATTGAATTGTTTTGATTTTTACATAAATTTCATATACTATAAATTTAATTTTTAAGAAATTTTAAAATCATTCTTCGTATTTGATTATTTTTAAAGTATTTATTTCTCTCATTAAGCTTGATTATAGGAAATTAATTTATTAACATATTAAGTATATAATTTCTATAACATTAAAAGAAAATTCTTTAGAATAATTCATATTGTTTGACAACAAAAATTATGATTAAATATTTAGTTTAAAAATAATTTTAAAACAATTTCATTATTTATTTATTATGCAATATTTAATTTTTTTTTGTTTATTATATCCATCAAATAATGGAATCTATAAAAATTGAACTTGAAATCCAAAAATAGAGCTATATATCTGATAGTTTTAAAGCTAATAAAATTTAATAATTCAGGCAGTATAAATGTATATAGTTGATGGAATAAAGTAAGTTTTACTCAATAATTTATTTTTCAATTTTATAGAAAAGGTATTAATTTCAGAAATTGAACAGAAATGTTATTAAAAAATAGAATAAAATATAAAATTCCAAATTTTTAATGTTATGAGTTTATCTGATAAAGAAGTACTTCTGGTTTTATTTACTTCAGTTCATTATTTATTCTGAAATATTTTTTGAGTTTAATTTATTAAAAATTTAATTACAATTGTCTTTATATAATTCTTATTATGGTATTTAGTTAATGCATACTTCAATAAAAATGATTTCATTAGGATTTATGTTTAAAGTTTGGTTAAATAAAATTTTGAACTTTTATAAGTAGTTAAATTTCAATATTCATTAATCACATTTTTAATTAACTATATATTTAACTAAATTTTTATCCTCTTTCATCAAAAATCTTAATATATAAATTTTTAATTAACAAATAATATAAAAATTTACTTTTATTAATGATTGAAGAATATTTTGTTCTTTACAATGACTAGATTTATTTGACTAATATCAAAACCATTGTCAAGCTTAAGGCAAAATGCTTTCTAGAAATAAATTTAATACAATTTCAATTTACGATTGAAGAGAATATTCTCCTCTAGGTCAGTTGATTATTGCTAAGATTACTAAGATATCTTGTATTTTGCCTGAAGTATCTAATCACCTTTGGATAATCTGCAATCTATCATTTTTATATCACAAATAAAATACAGGCTTGTGTAAAATTAAATTTATGCATTATTCACACAAAAATAGAAGAAAATACATTAAAAAATGAATTTTATTTTACTCATCTAAATAGCTAAAATTTTGTCAAAATATTTTTGATTACTGACATTTATATTGTTTTTAATGACCATAAAATTCATCATTTAGCTTATTCAAATTTTAAATTTTTATAATTTTACTTTTTTATAATTAAAGAATTTTAAAAAAATTTTAATAAATAAGTTTTTCATTGTTGGTTACAAGCATGTATTATGAAATAACTACTTAGAATATCAGCTTATTTGCAGTATTTTTTGTAACCAAATTATTTTTTGTATACTTATTATGTAAGATTTTCATCTTTGCTTCAAGTAAAATTAAATAAATAGTAGGTTTTTTAATAACTTTTCAAAAGATTATATTCTAATAAAAATTTTCAAAAATTTTTGACTATTTTTCTAAATAACAGTTTTTAGAAAATTAATACAGGTATACCTTGACTTATGTCATTTCAAGTTATGTCGTTCCTGACGTAACTTGAAACGATTATATGTCGTTTGTTAAAAAAGTATATGGAAAAATAAAAATCAACTTTAAGTCATTTTATTCGACTTTATGTCTGTCCTCCACAAGTATTGAAGTCGTAATATCACTAGAAAGTGTTTAAAGCACATAAAATCGTATTAAAATATATACATTTACAAGTATGTACTGTATTTACAGTACATGTATTTGTAAATTTAGATTACTTTTTTCTGTACTATATTAAAAACTAAAATTTATTTTTTTTGTAAGCTTAAAATAGATCCTTATTAACCATATATTATTAAAAATGCATTAATAAATAAAATACAGAACTGGGAATGGTAATTTATGGTGTAGCCTAGTGACAAGTAGATTTGGAGACAAGTAAATTCGACTTACGTCGCCTCTCCTGGAACCAATTACTGATGTAAGGCGAGGTATACCTGTATATAAAATGTAATTAATTCACTGGATTGTAATAGTTTTGAAATATGATAAAAGTTTTAAAATTTACCATGTGTTTGTTTTTAAGTTTTTTAATTTTTTCCTGTTAAATTATAATTTTATTATTACAATTTGTTAAAATTTATTATTATTTAATTATATTAAGGAGAATTTAATGACTGAAATGAGTTGGCAACAGAACTGTTGTGGGATTTAATAATTTTGCTATATATTGTGATACAACCATCTGTTATAATTTAATTACTATAATATATCACAAAAGATGTGTTTTAAGTTTTATTTTTCAAAAATATCAATTGTAATAATATCAGGTTTAAAATACATTTGCTTTGTTACATAATAATTACATTTTTTATTATATACATTTTATTATTCATTAAAGTTAAGATGTTTATTGTTTTTAGTTTTATATTGTAATAGTGTTTTTGAAACTTTTTAGAAAATTTAACAGAAAGAAAAATATTTAATTAAAATAACAATTAGAACGTAAATTAAATTACTTTTTCAAACCAGAACGTCAATTATATTAATTAATGAAATTTATTCTGATCAAATAATAATTTTTGATATTACTTATTGTAGAAAAATATACAAGATTTTAAAATGGAATGGTTTTTAATGAATATAAAAATTTAATTTAGTAATGAATTTTAACATGGCAAATAAGATATAAAGGATTAAATTTTAAAATACAAGTAAAACAAGTGATGCAATATTAAATTTATAATAAAAACCAATTTATTATATTGAAATTATAAAAAAACTGTATTTCACATAACAAACAATTAAATACTTAATAATAATTTTTTATTGTTTTAGTCTTTCATTGCTATGATAGAAAATATTTCAATTATTTATTGATTTTATTTTATTATGAACTGATTTTTCAAATATATCTAATTTTCAAATTTGTGAGATATTGTAAGCTGTTTTTGTGTATTTTATAATTATGTCAGCTTTAATTGATGCTCTTTATTTATTTTTGACATGATTAATTTTAACTAGTTTGTTTATTATTTTGAGTTCTCTTTATTTCCATTAATAATAATTTTTTTATATCAAATTGGTATTTGTATATATTTTTTTAACATGAAAAATATACAATGAAATTAGATAGATTTAAAGTCCTAGGTAAATAATTTAAAAATCTGATTTTTATAGAATAAATTAATATCAAGTTTAACATAATTTTTAAAATTATATTTTGTGAGTACTGTATAATTACAATAATGATTTAAAGATGTTTTTTCTTCATAATTGTATAGCATATATTGTACAGTTGTATATAATCTCCTTGAGTTATGATGATGTTATGTTCCAAAAACACATTACAAGTTGAAAATAAAACTAAATAAATAAAAAATAGTCTATACAGTACATAACATTACATATTGTACAATACATAGTGTGAGTTTGGCTACTGTTGATTTTGATAGCGCAAACTCACAAGCCATTGTCATAATTGCAATGTTTAGATATCTTAAGTTTCTCATTGAGAATAATAGCTTTCCTCTTCTTATCAGTAACAGGAGACACAGCAAGGTATTTTGAAGACATAATGGGTAAACTGTAAAACATAAGAAGATGTAAGATGGTGTATAGAAAAAGAAGTCTCAAGAAAGATCATTAATGCATTAGTAGAACAACTTGAATTCAAATTCTAACCATTTTCCTATTCTTCAGCATCACTTGCATTGGCTGTTGTATGTGTGAAATATCTATGTCAAGCAGCATCTGTACTGTAAAATAATACACAAATTATTTCTGATTATTTTTAGAAAGCTGTGAAAACATCAAGTTATTTGAAATTAATTTTTTCTTACTAAAATACTTGTATAGACTCATATATAAGGGTTATATCTTTGTATTTAAACTATTCAGATTACAAATGAACCCATCTTTGTTGATTTATAAGTGTACGTTGAACATAAATGAGTCCTTGTAAGTTGAACATAATAGTCACAAATATATGATTTTTATGTTCAACTTACAGTAAAAATGGATCCATTGCTAATCTAAATAGTTAAAATACAAAGATAAAACCTTTAAATATGAATATATACAAGTATTTACGGTAGATGTTGGAAATAATATTTACTCATTTCAATGCAGTTATTACTACATTTCTTCATATTCCTAGTAATTTTCTGTAGCATTATTTTCTTGTCTATTTTTTTTTTTTATTTCAATGATTACATTAACTTCAGCTTTTCTAGGATAAGTGGCTTGCTTCTGTAGACAATGTCTTTTAAGTAGTTCCACAAATAGAAGTCTACACTCATAAGATTAGATCATGTTGACTTCTTAATCCTTCAGAAAATATTCTTTCATCAAAAAATTTCTGCAGCATTTTCATAGTAGAGCTAGCAGAGTAACAAATTATACTATCCTGCTAGAACCAGCAATCATGCTCATCCTCTTGTAGCAAGGAAATGAACTGTGGATGATTTTTTTGTAAACTTCAGCATATAGAGTGGTTTCAATAAACATGGGTCCAATGGGCTTTTAATTGTCTATGTTTGTAGTTCCAATTATTGATATAGCCACTAAGATGGAACTGTGCCTAGTCTGTAAAAAAACAGCTAGATCTAAATTGCTAATGATTCCTCAAATCAAGTTCTTAAATTATTGACATTATTTAACTTTTTTGCATAGTCAGCAGGTGTTACTTTCTGGAAATCTGAATTCAATATGGGTATTATTTCAGCATTTTCCTCATAGTAGTAGGGCCTACATGTTAAACCTACAAAAATATTCTTTTGCTGGCTTAATTTCCTGAAAAACTTGTGAAAAAGATGATCTCATTGTTACTGCTGAATATCCTTATTACATCTGCTGATAAAACTGACCTCAGTCTGACAATTCTTATTGTCTCACAAAACTTCAATTTCTCAATTGCATTTTTCACTGCTACTTCCTTTTCAAATTTTTGAGTACAGTTTTGTTGACACAAAACATACAAATTTTCTAGACATATTGTTCCACAAAAGACACATGTTCTTGAACTGTTAACCATAGTGTTAATACATAGTGAACAAAAGCCACAGTTTCTCTCACTCTACCTACAGATTTGCCAATCCTTTTGAAAAAAAGAACTGGAAGAAGGATTGTGGATAAAACAGTGATCCACTTTTAAGTTGAACAGCTAGTGTTAGTGATGGCCAGGTAGCCAAAGCAGTTAAGATATGTCTACTGCGCTGGGAGAATTGGGATTGAATCCAAACCAGCAACCATAGGAATTATTTTTGTTGTAGTCTCTCTCAGATATGCATACTTAATCCTTCACCACTTGGCTGTATATTGTTCATCTGGCCAAACCCATGATGGATGTGATCAGGACCTTTTAGAGCAATATTAATTAATGTAAAAGTAGGACAGAAAGTATGAAAACTTGAAAACCAAGGTCACAGAAATTTCTACATTTAATATTAAGTAATTGTTTTTATTTATTTAGTCACATATTTGTAAATAAAGATAAATAAATAAAATAATAAATATATAAGAAAATAATTATTATTTCATTAATGTAATTTAAGAAAAAAAAATCAAGATGATATTGTCTAAATTAGTCTTAATGCCTGATTAAATATGAATTATCAATTGTATATCTTGGTGTTCATGAAATATAGCTCTTCAGTCTGTTATTTCTAAAGATTTGAAATAGGTAAATTATGAATAAAATTTTTTAGTTCTTTACATATGATATAATGTTTTCTTTTAAGCATTTTAACACATTTTCTCTCTCGAACTTAAGTAAAGCCTTATGTTTAGACTATGTGTATTTTTATATCTTTTATTTTCTATTGAATAATATTGAATAATTATAGTGTATATCTATTATAAGAGTAATAATTATCATAATTAAACTTTTTAAAATTCATTAATTTTACTATATGTAATTTCACTTAGAATAATACAAGTTATTTTATTTATTCTGGAGATTAAATAATTAATATGAAAGACATTATTTTCAAGTATATATTTATTGTTATTTTATTGAAATTAATGATAAAAAATGTTTGTGTAATTGGAATTATTTTTTTTTTTTTATTTACAATGATTTTAATAATTCTTGTTTGTTTAGCTTTTGCTAAAATAGAACTAAGTTAATTATGTAACAAAATACAGAAACTGGAAGGAATGTCAGAAAATAAACTTGCACCTTAGACATTAATGCCCACAAAATGTTCAATGAAATAAAATCGTTTTCAACCTAATTTCATAGATTTTCATCAATTGAGCATTCCAAAACAGAACATATTTGAATAGAAAGAATATTCAGTAAAATAAAACACATTTGAATAAAATAATGTAGAAGTTTGCCATTAAATGACACTAATTAAAGCTCATACACAGACCTCCGTGTGGTAGGCTGAGTCTGCATCCCTGTAATTAATACAGGTGTAAGCCAATAGAACTTTCACCTGAATTAATTACACAGACTTACTGTCTACTATGTGGAGGTCTCTGTATGAGCTCTAACTTGACTCATTTAATGTGGGCACTTCTACATTTGTGGTATATTTACTTATTTATTTGCATTACTCAATGTCTAATCTAATAAACTCTAGTGCCAAAAAACAATAACTAAGAAACAAAATATTAATGATTTCATTAAAAAAGTTGAATTAAAAAATTTATGTTAATAAGTAATTTTCTTTTCTTGCAAGTTTGAATTCAATATTAATGTAATCTCACAAGTCAGTTTATGATTTCAATATTAATTACCAAATATATTGTACTGTACTTAGAATTATGGAGTGATATTGTAATGATTATTTCATGTATGATGTATTTATTTTAGTAACTTATTTTAGTAACTTTAGTAACAATTATTATTCATAAATCACACTTTAATTAATAACAATCAGAAATATTATATTCATTTTAATTAATATTAAACTGTTAGCATGTATTTATTTTAATACTAATGAGTTCCCTGTTTAAATAGATATAACATACTATGAATGTTACTATAAACTTTAAATGTTATTAAACTTTAAACTATTAACAATGTTTGATATTCTCTTGAATTACTTTTCAGTTATTCATTCTATCACAACTTTGCATATTCCATAATGTATAGTTTCCACAGCAAATAATTATAATCCATATGTATTTTGCTTAAACATTAAATTTTATGAAGTAAAAACAGATAATGAATTTTTTAATAGTATTCTCCGTTGTGTATAAAATGTGTTTTAGCATTTCTTCAACACAATTTAATTTAATTATCCATTAGAAACTATTAGAAATGAAGAAACTGTGATGAAATAAGAATAAATGCTTATTTTGAATTATTAATTTATTTAACTTTGGTTATTTGATAAAAGAACAACGTGAATTACTCTCATTTCTACAATATTGTCCATTTTTAAGTGAATTGAAGTGTTAGACAAATATTTCTGATTAGTTTAGATAATTTACCACCTTTTATATAAAAAAGTTGCTCTTTTAATTTTATAAAAAAAAATCTTGAATATTATTAGAAAGAAACAATTTGTTTTATTTTACGTTTCAGTTATATCTGTAGCTTTGATCTAAAGTCTTGTAAATCTATTCAGAATTGCCATATTCATTTTAGTACAGAAATTTAAACTTATTTTATTACAATGCAAAGAGATAGTTCATCTATATATGTATATCAAATTAAATATAAAATACAGCCTACTATAAAAATAAGACAGATAAGTAAATGTTAAAATTTACTTTTAAAGTATTTTGTCTTAGATAAACAACTGAGTATTATTTAATGAACATCAAAGGATTAAGTTCAGAATTTTACAGAGTGACTTAAATCTAGATGTCATTTCTGTACTCAGCTCTAAAATTTGCACGAAAATAAAGGATCAAAACCATTATAATTCAAAGTTGTATGTAGAAATAATATCTAGATGTAAGTTAACCATGTAAATTCTAAACTTAATGCTTTGGTTTTTATTTAATAACAATCAGTTGTTTATCTAAAGCAAAAATAGGCAGAAAGGTATTTTAATAGTTAATTATTTAAAATTTTATATAATTCTCATCAATTAAAATGTTAGATAATCCTGAAAATTTGAAAATTATAGTTTTTATTGCTTCAGAAACAGTAGATAGAAATATGTATATATACCAGCGCTGTCCAACTTATCATAGTCCGCGGGCCATATTTTCTTCACCAAACATTTCGGGGGCCAAGAAGGTCTATAAACCACACGACATTTGCATAGTGCTACGGTTCAGTAAGCACTAATTGGTCAGCGAGTCCGATGTTGACGCTATAAAAAGGCGACAGTTCGACACACCGGATATACGTCACTCTCGTCTAAGTTCGACTTGGGAATTTTTTTGTTCAATAATAAATGTGAATTCTTCTTCCTGGAAAAA